CTGATATCCTTGCTGGACATTTTGGCATTGATGGAACCTATAATCGTGCTAAAAACAAATACTATTGGCCTAAAATGTATAAAAGTATTGCAAACTATATTCAAACTTGTAATACTTGTCAACGGCAAGGAGGAACAAAACAAAATAAATTTTTATATCCATTACCTGTCTCAGTTCCATTTCATCGAGTTGGAATTGATATTATTAGACCTTTGAAAATTACTCCTAGTGGAAATCGATATATTATAGTAGCTACTGAATATTTAACAAAATGGCCTGAAGCTAAAGCTATACCTGATATGAAGGCTACTACCATTGCCAAGTTTATTTATGATAAAATTATTGTTCGTCATGGATGTCCACAGAAACTGTTGTCTGATCAAGGAAAATCTTTCTGTAATACTTTAGTTGATTCGCTTTGTCAACTAATGAATACTAAGCATCGTTTTGCTTCTGCTTACCATCCTCAAACTAATGGATTAACTGAACGATTTAATAAAACTTTGTGTACAATCTTAGCAAAGTATGTTAGTGACTATGAGGATTCTTGGGATACTTTTATATCTGCTGCTCTATTTGTCTACCGAACTATCACTCCATCCACTACCAAATATGAGCCATTTGAATTACTTTATGGTCAAAAAGCTGTAACACCTTTGGACTTAGCATTAAATCCTATTAATAATGCTGAGGAACCTCCTTATAAACAACAGCTTCAAAGTCATATTGATCTTGTTACAAATAGATTACATCAAGTTCAGTTAAAAGCCCAGCAAAATATTGAATCTGCTCAACAAAAACAAAAAAAAAAATATAATGAGCATGTCAAGGAAGTTTCATTTCATATTGGGGATAAGGTTTTATTATATCGATCAGCACAATCTTGATGGAGGACTGTTGCCAGTAGTATTAAGTTTTGAAAAAATAAATCAAAGCCAAATCAATCTTTTGTCTATCTATTTCACTTCCAATTTTGTACTACACATCAAAAATCTCGATGGCTTGCTGATCTTTGGTCTTGAGTTCAACAACCAGGTGAAACTGTTGAGTATTATTATGCTGAATTGGAGCATTTATATCGAAAAGTTGATTTAAATAATCGATATCCAATAGAGGATAAATTACGACAATTTATTAATGGATTAAGGGATGAAATTCAGGAGTCAGTTGAAATTTCTTGTCCTACTACTATAGCATAGGCTTTGATTCATGCTAAAGCTACTGAAGCTGCTTTCTCTCGAGGAATGCCTCTTGGTTCATATTCCTTAAATAGGTGATATCTTAACCATTATTCTCCTTCTTCTCATCATCTTGGTTCTAATACCTTTGTTAATAATCAGGTCAATAATGAAGTTTCCCAAGCTGTCCAAGCTGTTCTAAACTATCTTAAACAGCAAAACCAACCTAAATCTAATACTTCTCAAAACAATAACAATAATAATAACCGCAATAACAAAAATAATAATCAAAATAATGGTTCTTCCCAACGAAATGTAATTGTATGTCAAATCTGTAATAAAAAGGGCCATAGTGCACGTGATTGTTATAAAAGGAATAGCAATAACAACTCTAATAATAATAATTAAAGGAGGGAAAACTTTCAATATAATAACAACCAAACCAATAATAACAATTGACAATTACCAAGGAATAATCCCCAATCACAATTACAAACTCTTCCATTTTCAAATAATCAAAATACTCATCCCACATATTATACACTTTCTGCTGAGGATTTACAAAGCTTTATTCAAAACTCAGCACAATCTTTAAACTCCTAAAGGCACACTGTAAGGGCAGTAGTGCCTGTCAACCAAATTCTTCTTCCAATATTCTACCTTCTACTTCTCTATTAAATATTCATAATAATATTCATAATAATAATCAATCATATATCTTAAAGGACAATAATTCTAATTCTATTAATAATCAAAATCAGTTTAAATCAGCACCCTCACTGATTTCTACTAATGAACAACCAAAACCTAAGGAAGTTGTGGATATAGTTTACTGTAATGCCAGTATTGATAAAACTCTGTTTTATTTAATTCTGGATACAAGATCACTTACAAGTATAATGTCAAAACTTTTTGCTGACAAATTAAACAAATTTATTGAAAAACTATCCAATCTTTATTTTTCTGATATTAATGGTGGAAAAAAACGATCACTAGGAATTATTAATAATATTCCTCTTCAATTATCTGATACTATCATTCCTATTGATGTGGAAGTAAATGATGCTCAAAGTTATGCTATAATTGCTGGAGTCAATTGGCTTAACAAAGTGCAAGGTATTATTGATTTAAAAAGAGGACAATTTAGATTTACTTGGGATAACAAATCTTATATTTTACCTATTACATGTTGGGAAAAGCCACAAAATAACAATAGTGAGCCTATCCCTTTAAAAAACTCTTCTGAGTCTAATGACTTAAATAATCAAACTTCATCTGCTGAAACTAATTCTAGTGAAATTAGTGAGGATGAATATGAATCATCTGATGATGAATATAAGGAATCTAAAGAATTTTTAGTTATAGGAAATTCTGATAAAAAACCTATACTTGAAATTAATAATACCTAAGTTAAATATCAAAATGAATCTTTCAACAATTATAATTTTTATTCTGAACAAACTAGTGATCCTCGAATTGTAAAATGTTATTGTAATCAGCCACAAAAAACATATTCAAAATGTATACAAGTGAGGGAAGCAATAAGTTGTTTTGCTACTAAAGAGGATCTCGAGGAAACAAATCTTTCTCCTATAAATAATTTACAACTACAGCAATTTTTAACCGAAAATGACCATATGTTTTCTAAAGGAATGAATAATCTAGGCAAAACAACCATTGACCAACATCAAATTATAACTGAAAATGTCCCACCTATTTATCAAAGGGCCTACCATATATCTCCAGCTGAACATGAATTTATCCAACAGGAACTCTCTTTGATGCTTGAAAATAAACTTATATCTCCATCGAAAAGTCTATGGGCCTCTCCTGTTGTTTTGGTAAAAAAGAAAAATGGTAAACTTAGGCTCTGTATTGATT